AAGCTATCAAGACTATATTTTTTTTTTATTATTGTCGTCCGTTGACCATTGTACTCGCGTGATAGTTCTACATATAGTTTGATATAATATTACATTCTCACTCGATTAGACGAGCACAGGTCCGCAAAATAATAATAATAAATCATGTATACAAACACACTAGGTGAAAATGTGCGCAGTCGCTGCAGTTCATTACGAGTGTGTTATAGACATTAATAATTATCGTCTGGACGAGAAAGCCTCGTCGTGTAACGCACCCGCCGGCCAATATAACACAATTTTGGTTATTGCGACGACGATGAAAAGTATACTAAATGTATCTATATCGATTACCGTTTCGGTTGTGATTTTCCTATGGCACGTCGTGCCTATAACGGTACGAGAAAACACCGCTGTGGAAAGATTTTTCAAAAAATTTTACTCGATTTAAGAAGAAATCGATTGATATATCAACGCACGGTCCAGACCAAGAGATTTGATATTTTACGGGTAGGTTCATACGTGATGCCGGGAAGCGCTGATAATAGTTAAGACTCTTGACATTACTCCCGTAAGTGATCTAATATCGTCGCGCGTTGTTATATCCTTAGCAAGCGAAGTCCGATAACACAGCAGTTGCCCGTTCGAATTTCGAATAGACGCTTCGTCAAAATATCGAAAACGATTCATCGCCGTGTGCACGTTCACAACACAAACGTCGGTCGCTGTTTTAAAAACGAGCTCGTATAGCACGATACAAATGTGATGAGCGCGTCCGGCGAATCATCGCGCGGAGTGCATATAATATCATGCCGACGACCGGACCAACTTCCGGACCACTGGACCTGCAGTGGAACTACGGTCGGATCAGTATAGCGTCGTCACCGTTGTGACGCCACTGCGATTTCTCAATACATTTTTTTGTCGTCGACGAACAGCCGCGGTCCGAGCGATTTCACGTCACATCGGTCGTGTGCGTGTTTCATCTTGCACATGCACACATGCACCGGGACAGATTTCCCTCGACGCCGTCTCCGCCGGCGGCAGAGTGCCGACGACAATAACGTCGCGATCATCTACCGTTGTTTCCGTCGCGGAAGTCCGGCGTATATGAATAACAGCGCACGAGGAATAAACATCGATATCACGTGCGCTATTATCATCTCGCACGCACGACTGACACAATAGGTATAGGGACCCCGACTTCCTCGCTCTATCCTTACGGGGCGATCCGAACGACAATTTAACAGCCTCCGACTATAGGAACTAAATACGGCGCTCTGACTGTCCTCTCGCTTTTCACGAGGCGATTTCAATAGAGACTTTCGTGACGGTATATATTATATTATATTATGTGTGTGATTCGACGGAATAAATCGATTTTCTACTGCGACATGTCGGCGGCCGACGGGAGTGTAGACGTAAAATAATATATGTAGGTACAGTTTACGCGAATCTCCCGCGAGACGACGATGACGACAGTTTAAGGATCGACGCCGGTCGGCTAATTGCTTTTTCTCCTACGATCGCGGCCCGGGACAACGTCCGCGACTTTCGTTCCGCTCGAAGACGTATAACATTATACCGTCGGTTGTCCCATAATCATAAAAGCGTCATCGCGGTCGGGTTTTGAATATTAAAATCTCACACGACGCGACGACGGCGCAATCCAAGTACCGACCGTACGATTCCGGCCCGCACTCTCAGCAGATCCGACGTCATCGATGACGATAATAATAAACGTATTGTACGCGCGCCATTCCGCGTTATACTTTATAGAAATGTCACTGAATTATATTACGTAAGTTATACTTAAAACGTTTCGCCCGAGTTCTTTGTTCGTTGAGACATTCGTGTATGTTTTGTTTTGTTTTTTTTTTTTTTAACTTTCTCATTCTAGCGTGTTGTCGCATTTACTGTTTGTAATGGATACCTCCTTGTTCTAGTACAATACACAGACTGCGATGTGATTTAATGTGATTGTTTTATTACCGAATATCACTGGTTATCGCAAAGTTATTGAGGTTTTTAGAAATATTTATTTTCAAAAACTTAGAAACTTAGCCACATGAAATCACAAAAAATATTTATTTTTCGCCATTTTAAATTACTGTATACGTTTAAGATTCTGAATGGAGAGATGACTGCACTGATTTTGCAGCAGTAGTAAAAATACTTCGATTATCAACTTCGAGGAAAGTTTCTAGTAGAAAATTGGATTTGTTTGTACTTTGGTGGGTTAAAAGTAGAAATTTCTCAGTATTTCTATCAAATAATCAATGGGTAAAAAAATATGAACATTTAAAAAAAAATTAATATAATATTACAATAATTGTTTGGCAATATTGATACCAAAATATTAGACCGTCTCAACTCACAACCATTTTTCATTGAAGACAATGGTTTATTGTTAAATTATTTAAAAGTCTTAAATTCGATTTGTTTAAACTATGAGAAACATTTTTTACTTTAAAATATGAAATTTAAAATGTATATTATTTAAAAAAGTAAACATCTAATATTTATAATGATAAAAAATGATAAAAAATAGTTATTACTTCTTCGAATTGTATTAAAAACAATTTTTTTTTCTTAAATGTCACTACTTTTAAAATAATGAATGTTTTACTTTTTTTTTAAAAGTTATCTTGTACATTGAAATCATACTGTAAACTGCAGCAAAAGTTATTTATTAACAGTATTTGCATTCGAAAGTATTTGATTATTATTGTGAGATGTTTTGCAAAGATGATTTTTATCACCTTAATTCATATCACAGATTATATTTTTTCCACATACATTAATGGTTACCTAGTAAAAATTATGAGTGTTAAATTTAATAACTATTGTAGATATCTACGCACAGAACGCGTCACCGTGAAATTGGTTTTAGATTTTGGACGAAGATATTTTATAATAAACCGACAATGACACGAATTACGCCATAATAATTTAGTGATAAGCTAATGACATTATTTTTTACGAAAATCCGTTGACGGACAAGATGTATAATATTATATTTATTTATATTACGACAACTATCAAAATGCATATAAAATATTAGATAACCCACTTTTTAGAAACAAGTACCTTGAATCTGTATAACAACTTGAAAAATTTGTTAACAATTAAAATATATATTTTTAACCTATTACAATATACTTTCGTCTCATAACTTTTTTTTATTTCTACTCAATGAAAAATCGTCACTTTGGTGGTGTATCCTAAGTTAAAAATCTATTTTAGTCACGCATTTTAACAATTTTTTCGTTATTTAAATTAAGAATAATATTAATTGTGACCGCAATTTATTTCGACTTGTTTTTATTTTTAGTATCAGGGACAATGTTAATAATTTTTTATGTATAAATAGTTATAATGGACATTTTGATAAAACATTGAAGTATAAAAATATATTATTCGTTAATCAAAATTAATAATTAAAATTTTTAGGTATCATAATTATTATAGGTAGGTTGATAGAATAAAAAGTATTATAAGATAATAACATTTTGAGTAGTAAATATTAAGGTATACATTACCGTTATAATAGTTAGGCATAGCATATTCGTGATCCCGAGTATTTTGTTCGTGTTTGGTCGATGATGTCATAAATGTTGAAGCAATTACATTGTCAGTGCTAGGCAAATACCCATTATTATATATATCATTAGTGAGATGTCTGCAGATACGTTCAATTAGAATCACGAAAGAGTGTAAATATATTTTTGGTTTTGTATAACACCGTCTAGTTAAATTAACTAATTTTTTGTTACGCAGCATTATGTTGATGCGCATTAACTTGTATTGTTATCTAGATAGATATAATATTGTTCTCTATTAAATCCTTAACAAATAAAACAGAACGCAGCCGTCGATTTAAATTAGAGAAATTCTTGCAGATGATAAAACCACTTGTAATACATTATGAGTTGTGTAAGCTATTAATTTTAAAGAGAATCATTAGAAATCAGTATTTGTTGGTAGGTATATCCTTTCAGCCGATTTTGATTCGTCTAGTAGGTACACTATTCGCAAACTACTGATCAAAGTCAAACTCTATAAATTAATGATGCGGCTTCAGTCGTTAGAAAACTATAATATGAGTGAATACATGAATATAAATAATTATACTTTCAACGGGAAAGAAATCAAATACTTATATATAGTATAAAAATACTATTCAATTAGAATCCTGATAGCAAATTTTGATTTATCTAGAAATTCCATAACTTTAATTTCAGATAGTTTTGTGTTTGTAAAATATTCTTTAGATTGCAACTATTAAGGCAGAAGTATTTGTTTCGCAAATGACTACTGATTTTAATTTATACAATACACGTCATATTCTATCAAGTGTATAAAAAAAATGTAATATTTCAATGATTCAAATATTAAAACATGTAGCTTATGCGTGATAATTATTATATCAAGGAGAATAAAACAAAATTCAACTGACATTGCATCATTTGTATCAACAATAAGCATGAAAAATAAGTGAATTAAAAGCAGCAACATAAAAAAAAGCGAAACAATAATAAGTAAAATCCAATATATCTGCAATATCGTTTTTTATGCAAACAATGTTATTTATTAGCAATCGAATAAGTTTGTAATGAATAATACATATCGTCCTAATATTATCACATTGATCAATTTGAATTTAAAATTATGCATGTTATACCATCGATCAGTACATATTAAGTTACACGTGTTACCTAATACTCGCACCTTAAAATATCAATTTAAATTTTATGGATGTGTATAGTTCAAAGTCAAGTATAACCTTTTAGTGTTGTCAGTTATATTATATATGTGTGTAAACTGTAAATCGTGCCTAATACGATTGTAGGTACTCGTATGCAAACACGATTCTAAACGGCGCTGAGTTTGTCACAACTGCAGTTCAAATGTACCTACCTAGATTTTACTTAAATTAAGATTGGGCTTAAGTATTTCTATTCTCATGTATCTGTGTATATATTCTTATCATATTTATTAATTATGTGTTCTATGTGCAGGTTTTGGGCGGTACTAGCGTGATGAACGGTATGATGTACATGCGGGGCAGCCGGCATGACTTCGACGGCTGGGCCAAGATGGGAAACCCAGGCTGGAGCTACCAGGAAGTATTACCGTACTTCCTCAAGTCTGAGGACAATCACCAGGCAACCATCATGGATGCCGGTTACCACGGAGTCGGTGGTCCACTGCCGGTCGGTCAGTTCCCGTACCACCCACCGCTGTCGCTAGCCATTCTGCAAGCCGGTCTGGAGCTCGGTTACCAGGTGCGCGACTTGAACGGAGCCCTGCACACAGGTTTCGCGATTGCGCAGACTATGTCCAAGAACGGTTCGCGATTCAGTTCAGCTCGGGCGTTCCTGCGACCGGCTAAGGATCGATCCAACTTACATGTGATGCTCAACACCACGGTGACTCGGGTGCTCATCGATCCCAAGAAGAAGGCAGCCTACGGCGTAGAAGTGTACAGTGGAACAGACGGACGGATAATTTCGATCAATGCACGACAAGAGGTGATCGTGTCCGGAGGCGCGGTCGCATCACCACAGTTGCTGCTGCTTTCCGGCATCGGGCCAAAGGATGACTTGAGAGCTGTTGGTGTACCGGTCATACACGACCTACCAGGCGTCGGCCGAAACCTCCACAATCACGTAGCTTTCTTCGTTAACTTCCACATCAACGACACATCGACGACGCCACTGAATTGGGCCACCGCCATGGAATATCTACTTTTCCGGGACGGGCTCATGTCCGGTACCGGTATATCCGAGGTGACCGCCGTGCTGCCGTCCAAGTATGTCAACCCTGCTGACGACAATCCCGACTTACAGTTCTTCTTCGGTGGTTATCTGGCCGACTGCGCCAAGACCGGCCAGGTAGGCGAGAAGTCGGGCAGCGGTGAAGGTGACGGCCGACGCGTTATCAACATGATACCGGCTGTATTACATCCCAAGAGCCGTGGACAACTCAAACTTAAGTCGTCCGACCCACTCGCCCACCCAGCAATCCACGCCCGGTATCTGAGCCATCCCGATGATGTGGCCGTGCTGGTGGACGGCATCAAGATCGCGATCCGGTTGTCTGAGACCCCCGCTCTCCGCAAGTACGGCATGGAACTAGATCGGACGCCGACAATGGGCTGTGAGGACTTAGAATTCGGGTGCGATGCGTACTGGGAGTGCGCAGTGCGCCGGAACACCGGGCCGGAGAACCACCAGGCCGGAAGCTGTCGGATGGGTCCACCCAGTGACCCGGGCGCCGTCGTCGACGCAGAGCTTCGTGTGCATGGTATCGATAGGTTGCGAGTTGTTGACGCATCTGTGATGCCGGTTGTCACATCCGGAAACACCAACGCTCCGGTGGTGATGATCGCTGAAAAAGCGTCAGATATGATCAAGGCTCGATGGGTGGGTCGAAAGCCGTGGAACAAGTGGTAAGGCGACCGAATGGCGGCCGCGTGGCAACGTCCTATTTTAATAAATTTGTAACACTATTGGTGCTAGAATTGTTGAAAAATTGCAAAATAGTATTAAATATTAGTTAATATATAGCTTTATCTACACATGGACGCTAAAAACAAATACACCGGCAGCTATTTTTATTTCTGTTTTATAGACTAAGAAAAATGTATTGTAGAACACCACCAAAATAAGCAAAACACAATATCACCAGAATTAGCATAAGACAATTTAACTAACTACAAATATCTAAACGATTTAAAGGTTGATAATGATCATCACTTACCATTAAATCAATTAATAAACCTAGAATATAAATAATTACATTTTTTATATCATAACATTCTAAATTCAGTAAATATCGAAATTCGGACTGACAATAAATCGAAATACGTATAATTAATGAATTTCATATTAAATTTATCATAGTTATATTTACATTAATTTATAAAATTTAATTTAATTTAAAATTCACGTATATAGGCATATAATATATATACTTGTATAGTTTCGTGTATATATTGACATTTTAAGCACATTATTATTGCAAAACTAATTCTGGCGATTTATCGGCGATGCATTGATAAAAATTAATCTGGGTTCGCCTTGATATTTTCCTCTGAACTACCCATCCATCACAATTAATCGAACACTTTTTTATTTATTATTAAAAAAATCATACCATTGTCCGACACAAATATTATATTATTATACATTTATACACACGTTTCTTACCGCACGGCACAACTAACTATATTTTCACTCGCCCTTTTTGCAATAATATATTGATTTAAATCACGATCATGTCGACACGTCAATAAATCTCAACTCTTTCCATGATATAATATCACTAAGTATAATATGTTATTTCTTACTACGTACTCGTATATATGCAAACACCACTCGCATGCTCTATCACACTGACGACGACGATAACGACGAAATCACTCTGCAAAGTCATCGACAAATACCCATTATCTGGTTTTGCTATTTATTGGGTGTAATGTTTTATATTTTTTTTTTTTTTTTTTTTTTGATGAGAAGACTATTATTATTGTTTTTGCAGAACGCAGTCTCATTGTACGTCCACGTCCCGCGATCGGCCTTCAAATCACCGCCGCCGCCAAATATGTCCACCTATTTAGGTACCTACTATATTACTATGTATACGACTAAACGATATTTTTACGAGTAAGGGTTACGAGCTCGGTATGTTTGTATACGCACTAAAATTAGTACACAGTTATTCATAATGTACTATTTTATAAAGAGCACGTTTTTAGTAAATTAATCGATTAATTAATAATATTATTTTTATCCATCATTATTTTAGCAGAACGCGTTATGATATTACGTAGGTACTTAGGTATACAGTTCTTATTAAAATAATATTTTAGTTGGTAGGTACAAAACGTAACGTATAAAGTATAATAATGTTATTAAAATATGTTTAAATGCCATGACAAGAAATTATTGGGCCATTATTATGATATTTAATAATGTTTTTAAGAAGCGAATTGGCCAACAAATATTGTAATATTTATACGTGTGTATATTTTTAAGTATATTTGAGTTAAGCACATTATATTATTATTTTGTTTGTAATATCAATACGCTCATACATAAAGCTGCGCGTTGTGTTTTAGTCTTAAGTTTGTCATTGTAAGATGTACAATGATCATTATTTTCACCTAGGTACCTAAATGATATATATATATATATATATATATATAATATATCATATAGATCGTTTTAGGAATCACTTCATTTGTGATAAATCATGACAAAATAATTATTTTATTCTATTCTGCGGTTAAGTGATATGCACAATTTTTTTTTTCAATTATTGTTAAAACTTACATTAAATATAAGCATATAGACTTATGCATAATAGTTTATATTAATTTATGCTACATTACAATATTATAAATAATATTATTATTCTATAACCTTATTATATTGTATCAGAATATGCATTTTATTTATCACGTAGAATTATTATAAATATGTATTTTATAGTAATTTAATTATTTCATTAAAAAAAAAAAAAAAGAAACAAAATTAATTAATCAAAAATATGGATAAAATTAATTAGACACATAATATTTTATTATATATTATAATATTAGTTGTAAGTTTAAATTATGTATAATGTTTGTAGATTACGTAAAATTAAACTGTGCAATTCATAAAAATGATATTTTATATTCTATTGTATTTATTTATTTTTTTTGAATTTCTCTCCAAAAATCTATATAATACATAATATGTATATTATACAATATACAAATTGCAGTGATTTGCCGTGAACACGTACAAAGTCAATAGCGACAAGATTTTGATTCCAAATAAATATTTTATCTAAAATTTTTTTTACTCGCACAAAATTACAACAAAAGCTTATTGTGTTGACTTATGTCAAAACTTGTTCGTATAAGTCGATACACAGATGCGTATAATGTTAACATTTAAATATAGCTATTATTAATTTAATAATGATTTATTGATTACATTTGTGCATTATACCAATATACAATTATATAATATTATCAGTAATTTTTTGTAATTTATAAATTTGTATTTTTCTCAACAAATTTAAAAATTTAGAAACTAAAAGTTATGCAAGCATATTATTATACATTTAAAACATTTAATTTGACATATTTCTAAATAAAATATTTAAAAAAAAACTATCATTTTTAAAAATCTTCTATCCATTGATACAGTCTTGTTTAAAACACCAACAAAATAAATTATATAATAATGCACGACTAAAATAATGGTTTAGAATTTCAGAGAAATATATTGAACTACTTGAATCAATCTAATAATTTAAACACCTTTCTATACACTGATATAAATACACTTAATAAAATATATTGCTATCCATAAGAAATTTAAAATAAAATATGAGTAATATATTGAAATTGAATAGAATTATGTTATTTTTCTATTACCTATACATTTCGTCGTATATGTTTTGTGTTTTGAGAAACAAAATAGGTATACTTTTTAACACAATTATATGGAAAAACTAAATGCTCTTAAATTTAATAGCATTTACTGTTAAAAGATATCATTCATGTAAAATTTTTGTACATTCACCAAAAAGAAAAAAATTTCATCAAATTAATTGATACGCAGGGAAAATAAAATAAAACCAATTGTTTTTTATTTGACACGTGTGACGTAAGTTGGTATAGAAAGATTTACTATCTCTTTTTTTTTTTAATATTTATAATGTGTTCAATTTTAACCAAAAAAAATTATAAGCTTTTAAATATATTATATTAATATAGGTACTAGTCATGAGTGTCACTAAACTATACACGGGAATCATTAATTACTATTACAAGCAGTGACAGATTTTTCAGATGATGGAGAGAAGAGAATACCCTAACAATCATCATTTATTACTTAATTAGATAAACATTGAATTTATTAAAATTTATATTCAACGTTTAAATACTTAATTTTTTTTTAAAATTTGAATCTTAAATGTTCCTAAAAAATTCATATAGTAGCATTATCGTACTTTAATTTTTTTTTCCGATAAAAAGAGCTCACTCATATCAGAAATCATATACTTTAAGCTTTTCAACTTTTTAACTATCTATCTATTAAAAACGTCAAATATTTTTGTTTTATAGAAAAAATTATAACAATTATTTTGAATATTTTAATCCTCAATAACTATTAATTTTATTTTTTTCCTGGGAATATAAACACTACTTATGTATAATAAATTTTTTTCATCATTTCTGAAATTATTAAGAACTTTTTACTTTGAACTTTATCCCAAAGTAAAAAATTTCTATCATAAATCACCATTAATATCAATGGTGGGAACAGTAAAAATTATTTTTAAAAACTTCAGGTATACATAAAAATCATTACCAATAACTTCAACTTGGTACTTAAAAGTTAAAACACAGATAATAATCAATCATATTATATTTGTATAATTTAAAATATCTCTATATCGCTGTAGTATAATATTTATTATTTATGATAGAATTTTTTTGACATAGATTTTATTCTATAACTATTTAGGTAGAATATCGGATATGTTAATTTTTCTATAAACACTTTTTTTTTTTAAATTATATATTTTTTTAACAATGTATATTTTATGTATTCTGGGCTCTACATTATTCATTAACTTTAATTTGTTCCTGATGCACCCGCAGAATTATAATTCAAGTATTGACCTGGGTTTATCGATTGAGATACTTGATTCTGGTATTGGCTAAATTGACTTGGCATGTAATTTGTATAAGACGGAAATCCAGTCGATGAAGCACTCCCATCTCTAGCCACTATGGAAGACTGTACCTCAGTTTCTGCTGGTTCAGGCCCAGCTGCAGTTTCTTCCTGATATGATGTTGATGAATCTGGTTGGTTTGACGTTGAAGACGATTCTGACTGAGATGTGGAACCAAATGATCCATATCCTGGTATCTGGCTTAAAAATTCTTTAATTTTATTGATTCTAGGCTCACCTTCGTTGTTATTTTCTCTAATAAATCGATGTGTTGGTTTACCTAGGAACAAAATATAATCCGACGAAGTTTGTTTATAATATTGTTTAAGTTATTAATAGATAGAGAACTTCCATGTATTTATATATTTTATGTGGTTAAATTTATCGTATGCTTACTAAGTATAATTATAACATATTTTAATAAATACATTTCACAACTATTTGCAAACATTTTCAGTACATATTATTGTAAATATCGAAATTTTTAGGTTTAAATATCAATTTTTTTTTTTTTTGTATAATATGTTAATGGTATATTTCGATTTTTTAGCAAATGTTTTGAATAATTATTAAAAATCAAACATTCAAGTAAATATTTTTTGTTAATCACAATTCACAGTCAAAAATTATTCAACTAAACTTTTAATTAGTCATAAGGACAATAACACTAATTTCTCTCTGAATAATTAATGGGTAGCCTAGATTACAGTATTTTGCAACACATTTCTGTTTAATTTTACAGATGGTATATGCGGTAATGATATAATAATTATTTAATTGTAATTTTTTTTTTATTGTTAATCTATACTTAATCACATAAATTTAATTTTTCGATGAATATGGGTGCATATTTTTAAATAATAATTTTTCGATAGATTAATTTTTTCACTAGTTATTACTGACTTTTAAGAGACTACTAGTTGCAAAAAACGGGACTGTCTTGCATCAGGGTTTGACGATTAACATACAATAATCTGTTGCGATCATTAGTGGGCGCAGAGAAGAGAACTGTAAGTAAAAACAGACGATGTGCTGGAACCAGAGACCATGGTGATCCTGATGCTAATGAGTTAGGAGAACTGGGGTACTATTGAGGAGTTTGTCAACAAAATACTTTCTAGGGGGAAGAAGAAGAAGAATGAGCACGCTAACAATCCAACAGATTCTAGGTCTTAGAATAGTATTATGTTTTAATTCGAAGGCTAAAATTGGAGATATAAAGCCTTTCTTTATTATAACGATAATTGTATGTATGTATTTGTTAATAAACTATATGAATACATGGGGAAAGATGACCTAGCTAGAGTAAAGTTCCTTTCTACAGCCTCATGATCCATACAAAATAAAAAAGAAAAGAGTTATTACTGACTAATATTAATTATATTTTATTCATTTTTTTATTTTTCAAGGCATATTGATTGTCAATACATGTTAAAGTAGATTTTATTCTATTTTTGTAAATTGAAACAATAAAAACGTAGTCTACAATTGTTATTAAATTATGATTTTTGTGCGTAATTTACAGTCTAAAATACATTTGACAAATAAATTAATGTTATAATATGTTGTTTAATTTCATTTATCATGAAATGTATTTATATTAAGACGTTACAATAAAACTAGCTATTATATGGTATATGATTGGTAGGTATATTTAAAGTGTGGCGAATTGTATCACAATTTGTTTTCTACTAAATATTAATTTTAACTACGGAAAAATTAATATACGAGTAATACGTGATATACTTACAATGAGAATGCTGGAAAAACATCGCAATTACGAATAATGCTACTGAACTATTCACAATCATTTTGACTTGCTGGTACTAAAACGGGAAAAATTATTGTTCTATACAATAATATGTTGACACGAGGCTCTGTACAATGACAGTAGTAAAGATAATTTTGAACCACAGACGGGCGACTGATGTACGGTGGATCGCGGGGTTAAGGATTTATAGAGCTGATAACGTTAACGCCCCCCTTCGTAAAATTTTGCATACCTCGCGGTAAACCAGCAATTAATAAAACACAATAAAATTTCCAAATAAGATAATGATTGTTGCGTACAACTATCATATTTGCATTTGATTTCCTTGGCCGATTACCACGGAAGGTAAATAAGGTTTGTCCTCTATTCGTCTTTGCGATCGCGTGCGTGTTTCATTGGATCGTCGAAGTCATTAACACGCTCAGGAATAACAACTATAAAAGTAGGGCGATTGACAAACCCACCAAAAACGCTCACATTCGTTTATCAAAATAAACATATACCTCCGACCGGAAATTACGGTCACTCATCTCATAATTGTCTCTGTTCGGCCCAGCAATATTTTGTAAATGGTATTATGTTTTAAACCTAAAATTATCATTGCATTCGATACCCAGCTGGTTAATCGGTTATTGGTTGCAACTTCTTGAATTTTCAAAATATACATATCTGTATAACGTATTAATAATATGTAATATCAGGTAAAATTAACAAAATAATTTTTTTGAACTTCTAAATAGATTCGAATAAACAATGGAATAATAAGACTGATCTGTCATAGTGAAAATGTCAGTATAAGTATCAGTAAAGCAGGTATTATTCACTCTCTAACGTATCAACTATCTAATATATTATAATTTTCTGATCCGTCACTTAGTCTTAGTCCGATTTAGGGTCTATTATTAATAGTTGTATTATAATTATTTAGTGTTATAATATAATATTAATTGATGATTTTATGAAATTACATAACAATGATATTTTTTCGAGAATTTCTCTAGTAATTTTTCTCTTAATATTAAATACTCGTATTTCCTAATTTTAATATGATATTAAAAATATTATGAAATTTAATAATTTAATAAGTCCATAACCATATCTTCTCAAAAACGATCAATTTTACTCAGTATAAAATTTTACCATGAAAAATAAAAATTAAAACTACGGTATTAGGAATTGGAAATCTTGAATTACCAGATCAGTAAATACCAAACAATACCTAATTATGTTTCGTATTATAATATTCAATTGAAAAAATATTATCAACTGTTGTGTTCGAAAAATTAATACAGATGTCAGATAGTATTGCGTTTGATTAAAATTGTGCGCATTGTGACAATTTCAAAAAGTAAGCTATTACTGCTTAGGTACTGAAAAAATAGAAAAAATAAATTTCTTCAAATAGGTAGTATACAGTTTTCATGTATTTTAATTCTATGTAAAATGGATGTAGTGCTGTTAGACAATGTGAAATACACTTTTTCTTATGATTCAGATAAAACTCAATGAATAATACTTAAAACTATTATGTATTCACAATTTTCGAGTGTTAGACCACGATTTCACAAAAAATGTAAAAGAATTCAATTGCAGAGACAAAAATGGCCATCATCAACCTCGACAAAAGTTTTCAATATCACACAAACAATTACATTCGGTTTTTCTATAAGCCTCCGATGGCTGATTTGGATTACTACACGCAGTAACTGGTTCTGTGGTGGTTATTAATAATTCTGATTGTGGTACTGTTGTTCCTGACCCTGCAGGAGGTTTCACCGGATTCGTGTACCCAGAATTCGACTCTGCGGTATTAGACTGCTCTCCGACGCCAGAAACGGATTGTATTACATCCTTTATTTTGTCGACAGTTGGTTTGACGTTGATTCTGCTATTATCCACAGTGGCACCTACAATTGCATAATAATAATGTCGAATAGTTAAATTGTTTGATTATCACGACAAAAGATCAAAGTACGTATAACATTGACTAATGCATAATGATTTTATTTTGAGCAAAACACTCGATACCTGTGATAATGTTTAAGTGTTTATTATATTTTAATATATTTTACAAATCAATAAATTATTTAATCTAATATCAACGTTATACAATGTTACGTAAAGTATAAACGATTATACTATCGCTATTCGACGTTACTTGACGATGCAAAATCGACTTCGTAATACATATGGATAATATAAAAACATAAAACTAATCAACACTGAAATTAAGTAGGTAGTTATCATGACTCATGAGGCGTACAATGTCTAATTGTTCAACAAATGAATATCGGCATCTAACAAGTAACAACTACGAGTATTTATCTTGATAAATTGTTTAAAATACATAACTATTTATCAAAGATAATTTATAATTTTTTGGCCATTTTTTTTTTTATACTATCATCTATAAAATATACAATAAATGATAATTCATGATTATGGATATTCAATGATGCTTAGTATTAACATTATACAAATTGAATTTTTATATTTCAAATCAATTTGAATACATTTAAGTTTGTTTTTGTGTATTAAATAAATAATTGTTTTAGTTTGTAATGCAATTATACTTACAATGATAAAGATAGATGTAAGCCAGCATAATAGTAATAACTGATTTCGTATACATATTTAATAAATCTGAAAAAAATTAATTCAAATCATGAGTTGATTAATTTGAGATGATTATTTATAAATTATAGATTAAAACAAGAAAAATCCATTCCAATAAAAAAAAAAAAAAATGCATAAAAATGAAAACTTAATCTAAAATATTGTCTTTATCAATTTGATTGTTTTGTGTAGATGTCATACTATATTTATATACCTACACGTCAAACTTACAATCATTGCCAATTTGGCCTTGAGTATTACATATAAAATACTCAAAATGTTTTGAGATTATTTATTTATTTATTCGTATAAGGAATTTCCTATACCAGAATCTCATAAAAACTTGAGTATCATGTGTGAGCCCGGGTTCTTAAAACTATTGAGTGCATATCATATTATGATACTTGTAGTGTTCATGACAACATCAGTGAAATTATTTAGGCAGTTAATTTAGTATTAACTAATCTTTTTAAATTAACCAAGCTTAACAATAAAATAATACCACGAATAGCGATACGAAAACTTACCTTTTTTTTATTGAATAAAAATTTATTAAAATTGATTGTTGTTCACTTGCACAATTCAATATAAAATTTAATATTAGGTACTAAAAATGTATTGATTGAAACCGAAATAAAAAGATGTTTTGAAACAGTTTCAGAACTTGCAACAGGTGTATAAAATATAAAAATAACTAATTTCCTTAAAAATTTTGAATGGATTTCTTATTTTTTGAATTGCGTGTAATAATACAACGTCAGAATTACAAAACAATGTGGCTCTATATGGATTTCCCCCTCCAGATAAGTGTCTTTCCCACTATTACCAAATAATTTTATGTAAGCATAGAAATGCAATTTTCTTGGATTGCAATTTGGTAATTGATATAGAACCTAACTACAATATAATAAATACTACACTAGACTACGCCGCAGCCGTATAGGTCGTTCAAAAAAAAAAAAAAAAGAGAGAGATAATTGTAAATGGATTTTTCCGAGAATTTACATTAACTAGTCTTAATTAATTTGAAGGGGAAATTTGGGTTTGATTTCATTTATGTCAAAATAGCTTTCAGTAATTAAATAAAATTTATTGTCGATAAGAAAGACTTTTTTTTATATAATTAAAGACATTATAAATTTTACTGTTTGATTATTTAGGTATAAATTATAATGTAATATGTAAATGCTTATGACACAAATGATTTTACCCTTGTTTAATACTTCAGTGATACAGGAAATGCTTTATCTAAATTGTTTATAATTTCTCAACAATTATAAGAGATTTGAAAATAATACGTGTAATCGTGTATAGATAAAGCCACGCAATTTTTTATAAATTTGTTATTTTTACATAAATATATTATTATTTCTATTTTTAAAAATTTTTAATCAACTGTAGTACTATTACTTGGTTAACTTTAATAAAATCTAGGGTACTTTAAGTGTTTTGTAAGTTTCTACACGAAACGTAGCAGGTATAAGATTAAGTTATAAAACATAAGTTTATGTACACACTGAGATAATATACATATATACCAGTTACTGTACAAGAAACAATTAGATATATACATAAATATTCCAACATAAACTATTTAGCAACTAATTGTATATAGATAATGTTTGATTACTTTAATTTGTACGTTTCCCCCTAGTATTTTTATTATTACTAATTTGATAGATGTCTTACTTAAAAGTTAAAATACTTATGAACATTTTTATTACAATTAAACAAATTGTACTGTCGTCATCCATCATTATTTTACATCTAAACTTATTTAAGTTTTAAAAATATTTCGAACTAATAAATTCATTAAAAAAAAAAAAAAAAAAAAATAGATAAATCAGATATAATATATCAATTATACCAAAAAATATTAATACAAAGAATTTGAAATAAAATATCAGATGCCAATTATAACAAAAGTAATACTAAAATGTGATTATATTTATAAAGCTTTTACAGTAAGCCATGTTCAATTTAAATTTAAATTATTTCAATACATTTCATAGAACAGGTTATCTAAAACTAATACGTTTTTACCAATTAAATCATAACTAGAAAACACATTTTAAATATACCAACAACGTTAAATGTGTCAGTCCTAAATCTGAATAGAGTGGTAGTTCCGTTTTTCATAGCCTTACCAATATAATATTCTTTACTATTATACAAAAGAAGTTAATTGATAAACAACTATAACTTTAAATGAAATCTTATACGTATAACTTATAAGTACGGATAAGAACAATCAAGTGTCCGAAAAATGTATATTTTGAACCGAACAAGGAAATCCACCGATATGATATCACTTTTATCCCTCGTGTATTTTGATAACCGAACATTGCTATAACACTGCAGGATACTAATTAGAGATATAATGTTGTTGACTTAAACAACTACAAACCGTACAACAAAAATAAAGCAAAATAAATTTAAATAGTAACGTGTCATAAAAATAAAAATTAATCATGATTTTGTACGTATAGAATATAAATATTTTCTTATTCACATTTATGAATTACATAATACAGTATCTACTTACAAATACACATATTATCATGTGGCATAGTTTGATTATAAAGCTATACTTGCAAAAAACAAGTAATAAAATGATCAGTTAGCTCAGTTCCAGTTTTTCAAATGATAAAAGTATTATACTAACATTTTTACCTAGTTTTCAAATCAAAATATTTTATAATGTAAATTAGATTTAAATATTTTTGGTAAACTATTTTTATTTTTGAATGTACTCGTAGTTAAACATTTTGTACTAAAGATGTTTCTCACTATCCAACAAAAATATTGATCTTAATCATTGATTTTTTTTTACAAAAGTGCAATATAATTAATATTGTTCAAAAAAAAAAAAAAAAAAAATGTGTTAGAATGTTAGTTTATAATAAAATCATTAAATAATTGTCATCATCTTAACTATAATGATTTATAAAATACCCAACGGTAATTTTTTCTTCAAATTTAGCTATTGCAATCGATTTGGAATTCTACTGACCGCACTTCTTTTATTTATATTCTTTTCGTGAGTTTTATAACTAAATATTATTTAAATTAATATTAACCTAATATCAAAATACTACATACATATTTATAATTAATTTAAATATTGTTTAAAACGTTGCTATTTTTATAAATGTTTAAATACCAATTAATACTTATAGATCCAATAACTTAGAAAACTTTTATTATCAATATTATTTTACTGTTATTGTTCTTTATGTGAAAAAATTGTTTAATGTGTAATGAAAAAAAAAAAAATATGAAATTATCAAGTAAAAAAACAAAGAAATGTTTTAACTTTTTATATAAAGTAACTGTATTAAGATTGTATTAACACATCGTATTTACGAGTATACACGTAAAATATTATACATTTGAAAATATCCTAAACCAAACATCTTATTACTTATTTGGAACAGCAATAGCTAATACACAAATATTACATATATTTTGAACTAAACAAATTATTAATTATTAATACAATATTATTGACATTTTTTTATCATAAAAATTTATTTATTTCCAGAATTAATAAAAAAAAAGTGTCAAAAAAATTATAAATTAAGACATTTTTAAATAATTTAAGCAAAATAAGAGAATATTACAAACATTTTATTTTATATACGTGTTGGTACATACGTTGAAGTAAATTAAACATGTCCTTAAACCTATAGGGTGCCAGCTGATTTTTTTTGACCTATAACAACATTCACTCTATGCGCTAGTAAGTTTTGAATTAAAATATTGACCAGGGTTCATCGATTGAGGAATTTGGTTCTGGTACTGGCTAAATTGACTTGGGCTTGGGAAGTTGTTCTGGTATTGACTCGGCATGTAACCTGTGTAGGATGGGAATCCAGATGAAGAAGTACTTCCTTCTTTAGCAGCTATTGAAGCTTCTGGTGTAGATGCGGCTCCAGCAGAACCAGCAGCAGCACCGGAACTACCTGGTTTGGAATTAAAGTATTGACCGAATTGATTTTGATATTCGCTAAATTGAC